AATCCTCTACCTTAGGGCCAAGCTACTAACTCAATATATATGATATGACAACTTTAACCCATCAGTCTTCATCTGGAAATGGAGACCTGTGTCCCAAGCTGTATTATACGATGTTTTGATAAAACCAGACTTTTATTTTATAAAAATAACGTGTAGGTAAAAATTACCTTTCGTTATCAAGTACAACACGCTACGATTCCGGATACGCGGTTTTGACGTTTACATCCAAGCTGAAATTTTGAGACAAGGTAAATATACCATTCCTTTATATTTTGGTGCTTAAATTTCATACGTACACAGACTTTTATTTTTGAGATTGTTAATTGGTATGGTCCCTTTAACTTCATGTAAAGACTGGACACAGTCTGTTTTTATAAACTAGTAACAATATTGCTGTTTGAATCCTGACTGACAGTTACATGGACCTTTTCTTTTATATAAATATTTACATTTATGTTAAGGGTCAATTTGCAACATTCATTTTGTCAGCCGCTGAAAGTCGGTAGCATAATTTCAGGAGAGATTAGCAGGCTTTGATTTTTTTCTCCAGGAATTATCTATACAACACCATGATTGTCTCGATGTTTGTATGAAGATTAAAAGTGTAGCTTTAAAAATGCACCAAGAGCTATATCTATAGCACATCTGTGAGAATTACAGCAATGTCTGTCTCGGTTAAGCGGGGTTGGGTGGTCGAATGGTTAACGCGTGCGCATGGATCAGAAGGTCTGTCACTGAGTCAAGTGGCGTGGTTTGGTTCCCCACTTGTATGTGACTAGGAGTAGGGTCATCTGTCAAACCTCATGGGTTTTCTCCAGGTCCTCGGGTTTCCTTCCACTGCTATGCGCAACTGAATTATTGAAATAAAATTTAACCATATGTTAGTCCTGAAATGACCTAGTTGTGTTGAGTGGCCATTAAACCCCATTTCTCTCCCTCTTTCTCCCTTTTGTTTCGAGTGGATGCTAAACTCTCTCCGGTTTCCGGCCACTGGTAAAGATCCCTTTACTCAAGCATGCGCAAGAGAATTATTGAAATACAATAAAACCTATATTAGTCCCAAAATGGCCTTGAGTTGAGTGAACGCTAATATCTCTCTCTCTCACTTCCTCTCTGTGACTGTGTGGGGACACCCTACCATATAACACAGTGACACAACCATCATAATTAAATCAACTTTCCATTATATGTTAACTGTGTAGAGCAAAGGTCTGGTGATATATTGTCCACATCTTAACGCGAGGGCAAATATCACAGAACTGAGTGATACTTAACTCTTAAAGAATGCTTTTAAAGTGTATACCAGTGAGGTTTCTTTTATCTCTGTGTAATATATGTTTTAGTTTTAGAACTTTAACTTCACGTAATATTTATACTCAAGTTAACAAGATTTTTTGTTCAGACGATGGAAGAATAAATCATGAGCCAAATTTGTATTAAATGAGCCAACTTTCCAAGACAATAATTATCAGCATTTTTCAGTTTTAAGTGTATCAGGGGCTTCTAATAACATCTAAGCAAGAAAAAACTTAAATCATATAAATGAATAAATCAAAGAGTACAAAGACATTATTTAATTTATCATTATTTGGAATTAGATTATAAAGAGCTGGCAGTTCTCACTATAATAGTTAAAAACTTGATAATGTAAAGGAAATTTGCTGAAAATTTCAGTCAAATTGATCCACTCTGAACAAAAATTTTAGCGATTGAATTTTCGGCCTAGCCTCGATTATCATTACTAAAGTCATGAATAGAAGTCGAACAGCAAATCGGAACCTAATCCAATAAACATCGCAGGCTAGCGATGTCGCTAGCGATTATGGTCGAAATAAGTTAATTAATGTCTAATTAATAATTTAGAAAGACCTGCAATAGGCAGGTTTGGCTCTTGCATAATGTATGTTTTATCCATGTTAAAACTTACTCAAACTGATGATTTCACATTAAATTGAAAAACCAAAATATCAATTATGGCTTGGATTCTATTGTATAAAAATGAGGCCCAGTATTTATATGTGGCACTGGCTTGTTTATATCATTTTCAATTCATCATATATTTGTGAATACTGAATGGAACTGAACCATTTTGGGACTAGTATTCATTGTCAATATTCAACTGTCAGCATATTGTAGGATTAACAATCCCTTAAATAACGCTGAGTGACAACTTGTTGAATTCTGCTCTCACATTCATATCAATTAGAACTTTATTAGAAGGTTCCAGGTTCACTCCCAGCGTTGGCCAAGAAAGTACCTCCCAATTGTCAGTGGTGCAGTTTGTAGGGCCTGGCAAGGAATAGCATCCAGTCATTCGGATGGGACAAAAAATGAGATCCCTTGTACATATTGACAGGTATGTAAGAAACCTTTGGCTGTCAGAATTTGACAAATAGTAGGCATGGCAGAACACCTCTGTCATGGCAAAATTTCCCCGATAACACACTGCATGGGCATATGCCCTTTATTAGACTGGTTGGTGTAGAAAATTAGGATGTTAAACCCAAATGAAATGAAATGGGGTTTCACGTCCTACTGTTCTGCTCCTAACTGGGCTAATGAGGACGGGCATACGCCATACAGTGTGCTATGAGGGAAATTTTGCTCGGACAGTAGCACTACAGCCTACTCTTATATCAAATTCCAACTGTAAAGGGATCTTTTACGTGCACACCAATGTGTACACGGAACCTCAGTTTTTCAACCCATCCGAATGACTAGACAACTGTCCTTATCAGGCCCACCGTCCTGCATCACTGACAACGGGGAATCAAGCCGGAAAATCTGGATGAACTTTCTTGGCCGATGCAGGGATCGAACACCCAACCTCCAGGCTGGCGAGCCAGCGTCTTACCCACTTAGCCACTGTGGCCCCATGTTACACCCCATTTCTTTCCAATTATTAAGATGTTTAAGAGGTGCGGCTATAAAAATAAGTACAAAAAAGTTAATTAATTGATGCTGAGTCAAGATACAAACATCACAACTCCTCCACTATTTCTACATATAGATTAACCCTTTCAACTTCAACATGCTTATCATTGCATGTGCATGTGAAATTCATCACACGTGAAGTCATGCACAGACAAATAAATGCAAGACATGTGAAAAATGGCAACTGAGTTGAACAGAAACTTGTCCTTAGTATGCAGTTATTTACTAAACTAATTGCTCTTTTCTATGTAAACAGCTTACATATGTACACGATAAAACGCAGAGAATTACTTTATCCGTAACAAGTGCTACAATGATAACCTAACAAATTAATTCTAACTCGAAACGTTATCCGACATTCAGTTTCTTAACAGATGGATAACATCCTCTTAAAAAATAATTAAGCAACCTTTTAAAAAAATAGTCTATGAAATGATGACATGATAAATGTGTCTACAGAAAATGTATTTAGAAACGATGATGTGATAAATGTGTCTACGGAAAATGTATTTAGAAATGTAGACATTGTAAAGCAGTGATTGTTTAGATTAATGATTAATTTCAAGATAAGAATCACATTTGTCTATTTAAAAGACTTAGACAATGAAATATAATTTTTACGTTATTTGATATATTGGATCTTTATAAATGGGTTGGTTTTTTTTGCATGTCAAAGAATTTGTTCAGTTGTACATATAAAAGTTTGGTCACTTCAAGACAAATATCCATTTCATAAGCTAAGTATGTAATGCAAGGAGAAAAACCTTGCCCAGATAATATCAGGGGTTCTTGATGTACACGCCAATTTGTACGTGAGGGGGACCTCGTTTTTTTTCACCCCATCTGTATGACTAGACAAACTTTCCTTGTCAGTTCTGTCTTTTGATAAATCATACAACTAGACTTGTAAAGAAAAATAAAGAGTATTGAACATATTTAATTAAACGTTAAATAATCAATTTGAATAAATTTTAGGGTGGATTAATTAATGAAAAATCAGATATTGACCGAAAAATACAAATGCCAATGAGCGGCTTTAAATGAAGATCAAAGTACTACTGTATACTGTTACTGAATTAATAAACGTTCTAGTCAATGGATAAGTTGCTCAATTTAGTGTTTATCACACTCCATTGAAATAAATGTGCTCAAGTGGAACATTTTAAAAACTGAAATATTATGTGAGAGAGAGAGAGAGATCACGGTTAATATTTCATATTGTGTAAGGAGAAAAATCAAGTCACTGTTATAGAACAACAGGTAGCTAGACACCAACTGGATTTAAATATTTACTTGTAAAAATGTCTTGTAAAATTTCTAAGGCTGTGAGAAACTCAAACATATAAAGAAAAAAAAAATTGACACCCACTTCTGAATATCAACATTTCAAACCTCTTGCAATTTACTCGAGATAAACTCTACCGCTTTTGTTTAAGAGAGAGCAATAAATTAATCCCCCTGAACCCAGAGCTTTCTTTTGCTGAAATCAGAATCAACAAGAAAACTGATCCATAGATAAGACTGTGTGTATGCAATAAAGCAGTCTTCTTGTCAGATTCATTCACCTATCTTTTTTTTTAAAAAAAAAATGAATCCTTTTGCAGCATCAATCATAAGTTGTTAAAAGTTTTACAAATATGTAACAAGTATTTTTGAAGTCGTGGCTGGTTATTTATACAGCAGTCGTGAACAATGATCACTCCCCTCTGTAAATCAGGTAAAAGAAAGAAAAAATGATCACAATATTATACAACAGTCTAGTATCGTAGTACTCTGTCAGTAGCCGTCAAGATTTATGCGTACATAAACGAAATAATCAAATGTGATCGCTTATTCGGGTAAACGAAAAAAAATGTGATCGCAATCTTCTGCAATGCTCAATTATAGTAGTAGTCTGTCACTAGCCGTCACTCAAAAAAAAAAAATACCATGATTTTTGCATACATAAACGTTTTAATCACTTATTCAGAACAGGTGCTTGAAAACGCATTTAGAAAAAAAAATAACCGGAAAAGCAGACAGCCAAAGTGAAAATGCAGCAATAAAACTGTCATCAATCAACTTACCAGTATTAAGCCGATTATCCATTTATATAAATCCGTGGTGATCATAATGAACTTCGGAATTAATAAATTTGTCCAAAGTCTGCTGAATAGGCATCAAAGACACAATAAAAGTATGAAATAATCAAAAAGAAGAAATGAAGTCATAATATCCACCAAAGTCTTGAAGTGTTACAGTCGTATTAACTGCCATAGAGAAAAAAGAAATTACACTTCTCCAGACCACTAGCCATACACACCATTTAATTCTAGTGTACTACTAATCTTCATTCAATGTTTATTTACTTCCCTCCATGTCTGTGTGTGTGTATATATACATATATCCCTTGCAGTAGTTAGAAATTGTCAACCAATCATACTGCCCGGTCTGGACAAAACTCAGTTAAAGGGGTCGCACAGCTATTTGAGAGAGAGATATATACACACACACACCGGGTCTAAGTATATCTTTAACAGGTAAAAGCATTCAGTCACTCATACAATTTGACAGTTTAGATGAGGTTGAACTATAAGCGAGCAGTATTTGATAGGTCATTTAGGCTGAATTGAAAAAATATATGTTTCTCCTTCTATCTGGTTTAATAATGAAATGAAATGCAATGGGGTTTAATGTTCTAGCTGTCCTGCTAATGAAGATGAGCTTATACCATGCTATGAGGGGAATTTTGCCAGGACAGTGGCGTTTCTGCTGGTAGAATTTAATAAATCTGAACTGTGACTATGACTACCATTTGTAGTCTGCTTCTAAAGTAAGAGAAAAGACCTAGGAAACTTGCTCCTGTATATTAGGATAGGATTTTCTAATCTTTCCATATACAACCAGAGCCATTCGAGGAAAAAATCTCTTATTTCAAATTATTAGGATTTAAGCAGATATGGAAAGTAGTTAGAGGCCGAGGAAGTTCATCAGGATTTTTTGTCGTGGTTCCCCCTTGTCCGTGGAACAGGACGGAGGTCTTTGCAAGGGACAACATATAGTCAGTCGTTCAGTGGTGTTTCTGCTTAGTCTGCGTCAGTTGTTCTTTTACTTGTACATAAAAGTGCTTCTTTTATATACATGCCGAATATACACGGGTGAACTTTGTTTCCCCCCGCCCCCTCCCCTACAATGTGCCCTAAGTTTGGTCTCCCTACCTTCCTTAGAAGGTCCCAGCACGCCTCTGTGACAATCAAGACTATGCTATTCTTCAAATTTCCATAACTTTGCTCAGAATGAAGTAATTTGACTGAAATTTATACCTGGTTGTATCACAACATACTGTAATACACCTGGTTGTATCACAACATACTGCAATATAATTGTTTGTATCACAATATACTGCAATACACCTGGTTGTATCACAATATACTGCAATACACCTGCAATGCCTACAGAACTCTACTGCCAGGATGGTGACCAAATCACATAGCTCCAGCCACATCACACCCATTCTAAAGGATCTCCATTGGCTCCCTGTTTCTGTCCGAATAGATTTTAAACTAGTTACTCTAATTTTTAAACCAGCGGCTGCCAGGCAGGATACGCCCACATTTTCGAGAGATGGATAGAAAACAAGCTAAAACGAAAGTGATTTTTCCTACAATCAAGGGCCATAATTCAGGAAATTACAATTTGATATGCGCAAATATCGAGAGGAACCAAGATCTTTGAGTTATAAACTTACATTTCAAGTTTCAACAAAATCGGATAAAAATTGTGACCTCTATAGGGTCCACAACCTTGATATACCATATTTTTACGCTATTTGAGAACAAGCGGCGGCCATTTTGTCTGTCAATTTTGGCCCGATTTTCACAAAATTCGAGCTCAGTCGTCCTTAGGGTGTAACGGTGATATAATAATACGTTTTTTTTAAATCGGATAAAAATTATGACTTCTATAGGGTCCACAAGCTAAAAACGCGATTTTTCTTACAAACAGGGGCCATAATTCAGGAAGTTACAGTCCTATATGCGCGAATATCGAAAGGAACTGAGATCTTTGGGTTATAAACTTACATTTCAAGTTTCAACTAAATCGGATAAAAATTGTGACCTCTATAGGGTCCACAAGCTAAAAACATGATTTTTCGTACAAACAGGGGCCATAATCCATGAAGTTTCGATCCAATACATGCCAATATCGAAAGCAGCCGAGATTTTTTTGGGATAAAGCTATATTTCAAGTTTCGTCAAAATCGGACAAGAATTGTGACCTGTAGAGAGTCCACAAACAAATTGTGGACGGACGGACGGACAGGGGCGACGACAATATACGTCCACATGAAAATGCGGGCGTATAAAAAGTGTAAATGGCACCGCTCCTAAATATCTCTGTGAACTTGTTCAATCTTACATTCCATTGAAATATCTGGGATCGAAATCAACTGATCATACCAAGTTACAGGGTGACAACTTTTGGTAATTGTAAGCTACTGCTAGAAGGTGGAGCTCGTTAGCTATTAACCCAATCTGATTAAAACACAGATCCTACTTTGTTTTGTTTTTTATAGTAAAAAATATAATTTTGTCTTCACAACACTAGGATCTGGAAGAGTTGTTATATAACAGGCGTTCTAGTTGATGTGAGGACTTAGCCAATGAAACAGTCTGTTACGGCAAGTTCTTGGCGTGGCCTGCACGGAACTGTGGGTAAACCCCATGAAACGTCAACGCTGATTGATTGATCAATGTCTGATGTCATAGGGTCAAAAGCTGCTTGTATGACCCCTGACATAACCTCCCAGTACAACTGATCCGATCTTCATGTAGTTTAGGCCATTGAAAGTATAAAAAAAATGAAATGAATTATAGATCTGTATTTTAATCAGATTGGTATTAACCTACATGAATGCACGTCATTATTGTCATTCAAGAAACTTTTAAAAACTCATCTGTTTCAAACAAGTTATAACTAAGAGCTAAAGACTTCATGTAGACATGTTTTGTCAAGAGCTACAAGCACAATTTTTGTGAAGTTTTGGCACTATAGAAATGAACATTTATTCTTATTATTATATACTACAATACACCTGGTTGTAACACAATATACTGCAATACACCTGGTTCTAGCACAACATACTGCAATACACCTCGTAGTAATGCATTATACTGCAATATACCTGGTTGTAAAACAATATACTGCAATACAGATATCCTAATAAAACAGTGAATACTACATTTCTACAGTAAAACGTGATGAATCAAATTAAAACCCCCATTTTTATCTCTACCTTTTATTTACTATGAGTTCTGACTGTGTTCCATGTTTCACTTTTAAGTAAAAACCACATATTGGAAGAAAGACCAGTTTAAACATAATGCCCACAATATTTCTGAGGATAAGGCTGGAGGGTGGTAATAAAGATTACCTTCAAACTAATTTAAGTTAAATGTTTATGAGACACAAAAAATTCATTCAATTACCACAGATACCTGAAATAACTGACATAAAACCAAACACCACATATTGTAAATAATACAAAACATAAAACAGCATTGTTGGAGCCAAAAACTAATTTTGTCTTCATGCAGAAAAAAAAAAGGATATCACTGACGACCAATATTTATATACTCAAAGCCTAAGTAACGGCAATGCCAAAGTTCTCTTTGCCTGTAACTGTATATATTACTCTGGTATTGTGTCACATTCCATTCTTATATCATATATATCCCGCTGGCACTGCCACAATTTGTATGAACATATTTCTGACAGTGTGTATAGGTATTTGCATGTGTAGAGCAGATTAAATACTGTAGTACATGTATAAAGTTCAGGTGTGAAGGTGGAGAAATAACCGTGACTTATGTAACGTCTGCCAATCTATCACAAATAATTCTTTGTTTTATATCAAGTGGAGGAGCTAGAGGGGACTGCTACCCCTCTATCTGGGTGACATAATTAGAAGCTTTCCATATGCACCTGACCTCCCTTACTGAGTGTTAATACACCCTCAAATATTTCTTTTCATCGTATTCCTTACTAGCAGGAGATCCAGCGCCGCTCGGGGGGCCAAATTCGCTCCGGGCACAAGTTTATCCGGACCTAATTTGTCCAGGGCGCAAATTCATCCTGGGCCCAAATTCAATGGCCTAAAATATTCACGGGGCCATACTGGTTAATTTATACATACATACATACATAGCCACTATTAAGAGGCAATCATTAAAAAGAACTTATTTATCAAACACACCAATTACTTTCATAACTAGATGTTGGATCTATGGGTGAATTTTGCCCAGGCAACAGCTTTTCTGAATATTTTTTATCAAATTCCAAATATCAAGGGTTCTTTTACCTGCATGTCAACATGTATATATATACTCTTCAAAAAAAGTAGGGGATATAGAAATGCAAATACATATGCAGGTTGTCATATGATAAATAGTCATGGACACTTGACATGCTTTGAGAGTATGGTCACAGATGAAGAACTTATCGCCCCAACAGAACCACTGAGCTGTGTGTGTGACATGCAATAGCGCCATACACGCGGGAGGGGTTCACTGTCAAATTTGACACTTCAAGGAAGGGTTGATGAAAACTGCTGCTTGCTGGTTTATCCTATCCATGTTTGCTTTCCTATCGGTTCTTGCATAAGATTTACTGTTTAATGCGGAGACGTGTTCGTCGACGTCAATGTCAACCGACAACACTGCAAGAATTGGTCGTGGCACTGCAAGAGGAGTGGGTCAGATTGCCCCAAATCATGATTGGACGGTTGATTAGGAGCATGCCACGACGAACTGATGAATGTCTGAGGATTGGTGGAGCAATTACTCATTATTAAGACAAAAATCAAAAACGTCCATTTTCACTTTTGACAGTGTATATCCTTGCGAGTGAATTGGGGCTGCCAGATAAGCCGGCCATATGAACTGTTTATGTTCATGTGTAGGCCACTGGCCTATTATTAACATACACTGGTTACCTCTAATAAAAATAGCAGTGCATTTCCGCAGTTTTGTATTGTTTCTGAATATCCCCTACTTTTTTTGAAGAGTATATCTGGATGTCTGTCTTTTCATCCCATCCATAACTTTCTGTGTCATCCCTGCAGATGCTACCTTGGACTAGTGGATATAGGCTTAAAAAAATAGAGAGAGAGAGAGAGAAATGGGGTTTAACGTCCACTCGACACAAACTAGGTCATTTCGGGACTAACATATGGTTTAATTTTATAGGGGTCTTTTAGCAGTGGGAGGAAACCGGAGGACCCGGAGAAAACCCACAAGGTTGGACAGGCGACCCTACTCCTTGTCACGTACAACCGGGGATTCGAAACCACGCCAGTCGACTCAATGACAGACTGTATGATACAGCGCGCACACGCTAACCATTCAGCCATCCAACCCCCCGGCTTAAAAAATCCTGAAATTCTTCTCGTCAAACACCAAGATTTGAACCCAGGA